AAGAAAATGTAGTGTATATACAAATGCAACACACACATAATTTTCTCATATATAAACATGTACTACATTTTCTTTAGGAAGAAATATTATGCCTTCAAAAGGGATAAACTCATGATTTGTGATAATATGGAGGACATTATGCTAGGCACAGGAAAGCACGCAGTGCATCATTTCATTTAAATGTGCTTTCTAGAACTTGAACTCGTAGAAGCAGAAGGCAGGATTATACTACCAGGCACTAGTAGGTTGGACGAAATGGGGGGCTGTTGGTACAAAGGTACAAAGTTCCAATTACTTGAGAAGGGATTCTCAAGACCTAGTCTCAACATAAGGACAAGAGATAATACCACCTCACTGTAACACCTGGCCCTCTGCACCTGCGCTCTGTGGAGTCAACCAACCTAGACTGAAAACACGCCAAGAAAAACTGTGAACATGGACAGAGTTTCCTTTTTGTCATTATTTCCTAAACACACAGTATAGAACCGCTAATACAGTATTTCTGTTATCATCAGTAATCTAGGCAGTTTGAAGGATAAAGGAGGCATGTATAGGTTATAGATGAATGCTCTGCCATTTTATGTAAGGAGCCTGTGTGTCCTTGGATCCTGTTATCAGTGGGGTCCTGGAACCCAGGAACAACTATACATGAAACTTGTCAGAAGAGCAGATCTGTGTGCGTGCATGTTCATGTGTGCAATGTGTGCAGGTATGTATGCATATGTGTGCACGTACATGTAGAGGCCAGAGGACAACCTTGGCTGTTTTTTCTCATGAATGCTGCCCACCTTATTTTTGAGAAAGGGTCTCTCTCATTGGCCTTATCCATTAGGCTGACTAGTGAGCCTCAAAGATCTGTCTCCACCTTCCTGATGTTGGGATTACAAGTACCTGCCATCACTCCCAACATTTTCCTGTGGGTTCTGGTGAGTGAAGTCAGATCCTGGAGCACTGGACTGGCTACTATATCTCTCCAGTCCAAGAGAGTAAATTTTAAATCTCTTGTTATCTACACACACAGAGAGAGAGATAGCTATATGAGGTGGTGGAAAGCTTAGCTTGCTTCTGATTACCAGTCACACTATATGCAAATATCTAAACACAGTATACACTATCGATATATCATGTTCATGTGTCAGCTACATCTCAATAAAGCTAGAGGAAAAGTTATGTAAGGCATTGCATGACACGGGTGCACTCACATACATGCAGACAATATACTCATACAAATCAAATAAAAATGATAAATAATTTTTTTTTTAAAGTTTAAAAATTTTGTGGATGTGAAACAAAAATGTAAAATGTACTATGGACAGAGGTACTCCTTGTCACTCTTGTGAGCTAAGGGAACTAAAACTGTCCACTCATTGCTGAAATCCAAAATGGTGCTGAGGGAAGTGCACACAGCACAATAGAAGGAACTTTGCAATCTGCTCACCAGGAAAGTGGAAGGAAACCACTGGACCCGATCAGGCTGTCTGCTGGCCTGGTGTGGATCCCATATACATCCCACCCTCACCAAGGAGAAACTTGCCTTATACTCGCCACAAGGTAAAACTGGCCCTGGAGCGGAGTTCCTGGGGTAGGAAGTAAGCAGCAGAATATCCTTAACCAGGGCAGGTGAGTACAAAGATCCCTGGGAAATAAACACGAGACAATGCTCTACCCACAGTCCAGAGCACCTGAGGGAAACTAGCACACAAACAATAGCCCATAAAGCCAAGAAGGGACAAATCCACTATGGACAAAAGACAAACCACAGAGCAACTTGAAAAGGGCTGTAAAGTAGCACCTTAAAAACAAGGAGGCCAGCCCAGGGTGGTGGTGCATGCCTTTAATGCCAGCACTCAGGAGGCAGGAGCGGGTGGATCTCTGTGAGTTCTAGGCCATGCAGGTCTACACAGCAAGTTCCAGGCCAGCCAGGACTATATAGTGAGACCCTGTCTCAACCTCTCCACTCCCCACCTCCAAAAAACAAAGGAGGCAGCTGCATGTCTCTTCTAGCACTCTTCCAATTGAGCTTGCTACTGTGGAAATCTTGCAATTTTCAATGTCTAACTTGTAATTTCCAGTGATGTGGTTGGAGATAGTGCATTGCTTTACAGATGCACTGGGTACAGCCAAGTCCCTCTGAGCCAGCAAGGGAGAGCTTCCAAGACTCCCGAGCTTTGGTGGCATGTTCAGAAGCTTAAGCAGAGTCCAGGCCAGTGTGCAAGGCAGAGTGGGCATGGGCGACCAAAGGGGGCAGCATGGATTTAAAAACCGGGCTATCCTGGGTCAGAACACTTTTCATTGACTGAGAATGGGACAGCAGGTAGACTCAAAACACGGTCCCTGAAAATTGAACAGTTTTAGAACTAAATCTAGGTTAATGGTGAAATAAACCTGCTTTCTTAGTCACAGAAGAAATGTAAATGTTTACACTGATAAAGCAACTATGTATGCAGATTAAAGTGGGAGATCTGAAATATAAAAATGACCCTTTAGGCAGGCGTGGTGGTGCACGCCTTTAGTCCCAGCACTTGGAAGGCAGAGAGGTGGATCTTGTAAGTTTTGAGGCCAGCCTGGTCTATGTAGCCAGTTTCAAGCCAGCTGGGACTACAGGGAGACCCCATCTCAAAAGAACAAAAAGTAAAAGTGAAAAACAAAACAAAAAAACCCCGACCTTTTGGTGAATGGGTGTCCCACTTACTAAGCATTCAGGAAAAAAGTTGAGATGCTGGGTTCATTCCTCTTGCCATTGCTGAGAGAAACTCATAACGAAAAGCATTATAAAAACCAAATCAATCAATTTCAAAGACACACTGAAAAGAGTTCCTGTGGGTTTTGAGCCTGCAAATCCCAAAAAGATGCTGTAGCTCCTCTGGTGGTTCCCTTGCCCCTTCACTGACCCTGTCCTCTCTGTGGGGAAAGGGCCTTACAAGAGATGCTTCAGAGCAAGGGATGGGATGGGTGCGGGATGACACAGTCCACTCCAATCCCAGCCAGAATGCTGGCTGAAAGAGAAGGAAACCCTGGCAAAAAGTTAACAAAGTGGAAAAGCACAGTCATTCCGTGAGAACAGAGCTCCCAGGACTCATGGTACATTAGCTTTAGCTCCTAGGGGCAGAGGAGATAGCTCAGTGGGTAAAAGTGCTTGCCATACAAGCAGGAAGACCTGGTTCACATTCCCAGAATCCATGTAAAAGCTGGAAATACAGCATATCGCTAATCTAACATTCCTTCCTGAAGATGGGAGGCAGAGGTGGGAGGGTCCCTAGATGTTCCTGGGCCAGCTAGCCTATTGGGAGCAGGGGGAAAGGCAATAAAGAGACTCCATCTCAAATAGGATGGAAGGTGAGAATTGACACCTGAGGTGGTTCTCTATCCTCCACACGTGTACCGTGGCATGCATATGGCCATATTCACACATGTGAATGTTCACGCATGTACACACACACACACACACATACACACTACATACATCCCAATTAAATACTGAAGAAAAAAAAAGCTCTACTCTTAACTCTGAAAAGAGGCCTAAAGAGGGTTCCTTACATGTCAAACCCACAGCAAACTTTGATTCTACAATCATGGACTTGCGTAGGTGGCAAGGTCCCTGTCTGAGACAAGTGTTCAAACAGAGAGACCGTGTGCTGAGTCACCACCATAGAACGTTCCTGAGGTGGACAGTTTCTTAATTACTGCTTCCAAATCAAGACAAAGGCACATTCTTAGACCAGAACTTCCCACGGGGCAAAGGCAAAGCAGACAGAGCCAGTAACTCAGAGGCCTCTTGGGTTGGAAATCCAGCTTTCTGGCAGCTCCCCACTCCCACTTCGTGAGGCAGGACATACAATGACTGGCCCCTACTGCCACGGTTCAGACACCAACAAATCCTGCTAGCAGAGATGTACCGGAAGGAAACAAAGAAGCACTGTGTATGCACCTATTATTTTGGAGTTACCAATTCCATCCTCTGTTTCGTTGTCTTCTTCCTCCTACTTAATTCTTTCTGTGCATTTTTTTTTTCTGTTAACTAGAACACCTCATCCCATTAGAAAAAGAAACTTTCATCAAAAGTTTGGCAAAGCATAGAAGTTGGAAAATGGGTACGCAGCCCCAACTTTAGCTGGGGAGCTATTGGCAACTGATAACTGCTGGGAGAGGGAGAGTCAGTTTTCTTCAAGGCTGTGATGCTACATAGGCCAACCGGGCTTGAGCAGATGATCCCACACCAAAGGACATTTGAGGGTACAAATGTGACTTATATATGACAAATTGGACATATACAAATTTGACATATATATGACAGAGTACATGAAATCAGGTTGAGAGGCTATAAGCTGGGTGCAGATGGGGAGGAGGGTTGAATACAATCAAAATATATTGTATGAAATTCACAAAAAGTCAATAAAAAGAAAAAGAAATATTTCTTAAAGTTTGTTGAAAGGAAGGAAGGAAGGTGGATATTATAATTGTTGAGAAAGTAGCTGCTGCTTATTTTGGTTAGTAGGGTAGTAGAAAGTGGGCCTTGGAGCCAAAGAGATGGAGCTTAAGTTTCTCATCTGCTCCTTTTGAGACGATGAAAATGTTCTGGAACTAGACAATGATGATGGTTGTATAACACGGTAACAGTACCGTCACTGAACTGTATGCTTGAAATGGTTACAGATGAATTAAAGACACCAGCTGTGTGTCTTTAGGCAAGTAATCTGGTCCATCTGATTCAGCTTCCTTAGGGGGAAAATGGGAATATTACCAACTACCTATGTTGGTAGACAGATGCAAAAGTTGAATAAAACAATACATAGAACCAAATATAGTTCTCACCATCTGGCAGGCACACGAGCTTTTCACTATTGAAATATTCAGAATTGATCCTTATGATGAAATTGGATATGAAAACAAATTCTCTTAAAGTGAGAAGGAGGATTTCCCAGGTAAATGTGCACATCTTTACCTGCAAATTCTTGGTGATTGAACCTTGTATTTTAAACTTTATATGAGGTAGACTTTACCTGTCGGCTTCCTTGCTTGGAGGAGCAGCTACTTGTACTCCGTGAAGGTGAAACCAATTTTTGGGACACACCAAGGTTCTTCTCGTCACTCATCATGAACAGCTGGCTAGTCACTTGGTCCCAGCACGGTCAAAACGCCATTAGAAGACAGTGGGACTGAGAGAAGGAAGCCCACACAGGCAGACAGACCAGCTCTTATCCAGTATGCTTCAAACACATTTTGGAGGTCTTGGAGTAAATTCCTAAAACAAAAAGAAGAGCAACTGAAGAGGCTGGAGAAGTAGAGAGCTTCATCGTCTCTGTTTAGCTGTGCAGTGCCAATACACACACACACACACACACACATACACACACACACACACACACACACACACACACACGTGTGGGCCCCAGTGCTTAGCTACCACAGGGCTGTGAAGGCAAAAACACTTCATACCTCCCTAATTCTGTATAAGTGGTTTGTAATATGACAGGTTTAAGAACATTAATATGGCTATTTGAATCCAGACCCATACAAAAATCAGTGTTATAGACAATTTCCAAACCACGGTGAGACATTACATCGTATCCACTATGATAATGGTAATAAAGAGAGAGAATAACTGGTGTTGGAAAGGATGTGGAGAAATCAGAACTCATTGTTGGTAGAAGGAACATAAATTGATGTAGCCGTGAAAGAGAAGAGTTTTTGCACTTCCTCAAAAAATGCAAACACAGAATTATTGTATGGTCTACAACTCTATGTCTAAGTATATATCCAAAAGAACTGAAACCAGACATCCAAGTGAAAAGTTATATACTAATGCTCATAGCAGCATTCACAAGATCCAAAGGTGGAAGCAACCTAGATGTCTACCTACCAATGAGTGGATAGACCAAATCTAAGAAAGCCACAGAATGAATATTATCCAGATAGTTAACAAGAATGAAGTACTCATACATGCCAAAACATGGATGAACCTTGAAAATACCACAATACATGAAAGAAGTCAGATGCAAAAGATCACACCTTTAGAAGGTTTTATTTATTTATTTATATTTTATTTTACACATATAAATGTTTTGCCTGCATGTATGTAAGTGCACCTGTGTGCAATACCCACAGGAGCCAGAAGAGGGCATCTAAGCCCCTAGACCTGGAGTTAAGGATGGTTGTTAACCACCATGTGGGTGCTGAAAACCCAACCTGGGTCCTCGGCAAGAGCAGTGCTTTTAACTGCTGAGCATCTCTCCAGTCCCAAAAGATCACATCCTATAATATTCTGTTTATGTTACATAATACAGAGTCAGCAAATCCATACGATGAGGTAGAAACTTAGTGGTTGCCAGGGGTTGGGGACAGGGAAGGATGGGGTACACCTATTTAATGGCATGGGGTTTCCTTTTAGGATGATGAAAATGTTCTGGAACTAGACAGTGATGATGGTTGTACAGCACTGTAAAAGTGCTAAATGTCACTGAATTGCATACTTGAAATGGTTAAAACATGAATTCAATGTTATATGAATTACATAATAACTTTTAAACCCCTTCTTTTTTATTATTATTATTATTTTTTTTTTTTTTTTTTGCAGAGGGAGGTTGCGAATTTCTTATTCTAAAGGGTTTTTTTCCCCCACTCAGACTTCATCCTCTCCCTTTACTCTCCGGAAAGAGAGAAGAACGATCATCCATGGCAAAAGGCGGTTGCAGCGAAGCAACACCAAGAGCCAGCCTCTTGAGCAGGAGAGAATGCTACATCTCCTTCTCGTGGTTTCTGGTACTCTACACAGTCAGAGAAACTTCTCTAGTAATGAACTATAGAAACGATCCCTGAAAGTATAGTCTTCCTAAAGGATTTTTTGAAAATATCATCTTAAAAACAACAGAAATATGATGTAACAAAAACTGGGAGAAAGCAGAATTGTCCATACTATTAGCATACTAGCAACTGGACACAGACTACTCATGGTAATACAGATTCCCACAAGTACTGCCTCTTTTAATCAACAGTCCGATGGAGAAGATGACAGAGCCGCTGATAAGTTATGCCACTTGTTGGCTCATACAGCTGGCAAGGGGAAGGTACTATGCCAGCCCTTTAACCATGAGCTAGAAATGAACACACGTCTGATATGCTACGGTAATAACAGCTACACCACTATCTCTGGAACCTATGAGTCTAGAAAGTTTTAGGAAGGAGAATATTCCAAGCCAGCTTAGAGCCATAGTGCCTGTTCCCTTCTGAAACAGAATACCAACCTCCAGTGTGGCCAAGTACCAGGGACAAACTGGGTACCATCACCCCTCCCAACTACCCTGTGTCCAAGTAGCCATTGAGGCTGCCAGCTGCCACCTCTGCACTATAGGGAGTCTTATGCTGAGGGTGGCTTCCCTACACTTCACAGAGGAGAAATCCCAGGAAACACTAGCTTTATCCAGGGCCCTGGGTTAAGAGCAACAGATATGCTTGGTTTGGGCTTCAGAAACCAGGACTGTATTCAACACACTAAGTTCAAATAAATTCTACAACTTTTCCACACATACATGGGTGTTTTGTCTGCATGGATGCAAGTGCACCTGTGTTGTACAATGACTTGGAGGTCAGAAGAGGCATCAGATCTCCTGGAACTGGAGTTAGGATGTTTGTTAGCTGCCATGTGGCTGCTGGGAATCAAACCCAGGTCCTCTGCTAGAGCAGTCAGTGCCCTGAGTCAACTCTCCAGCCCTAACTATAGTCTAATTTTTAAAGAAAGATGTAATACAATTGTCCAGGAACCAGCTAGTCAGGTAGGATATCAAAAATGGGGTTAATTAGTAAAAACTCAAATATCATATGACTTCCTAGCATTTTACTCTCTAAAAATGATTATGTTCAAGTCATACACTAAAATCAAAGCAATGAAGTAAAATACGTAAATCCTGGAAAACCAGTTAAGGCACCTATACCTTCAGAAGCCAATTCTCATGTCACTCTGACATGGCGCATCTCTGTACTTATTATAGGGCATACCACTCAATGACCATCCCCAAAGCAAACCAACACCACCAGCCTCTTCATAAAGTTAGCTCTACTTATGGGGTATGACTAAATGCAGCTGAATTAGAAGCAAATTAAACTAGCTAAAAATTGCCAAGAGAAGCTATAAAGATATTAATAGCTTGTTTAGTAACAGTGTTGGCTGTTGTCTGAAAAGGGGGGAAGAACCCAATGGTAATCTCAATGAGAGAGAGAGAGAGAGAGAATGTGTGTGTGTGTGTGTGTGTGTGTGTGTGTGTGTACAGTCATCACTACGGTAACATGTCCACAATGGACTGGGAATACTAACAAAGGATTTCTGTTTATGTATGCCAGTTTTTGTTTTTCTAAGCCCAAGGTTATGATAAAGGAGTGTATGGAATGAGAGATGTGTGTGAAATGTGAAGGAGGGAGAAGAACTTGAGCAATAAACTGAGTCACGGGCATTCTGAAGCTGTGCCAAATCAGAGGGCCATACCCCTGACTTGGGCAACTGATGAAAAGAGCCATCTTTATCTCTTGGAGGGACGTACTACTTGAGTCAAGGCACTTAGGAAGCCAAATTCGATACTCACGGAACTTGGCACTTGAGGTGAAGACCTCTGCCAGCACTGCACCCCTCCCTGTTTTCCTTTCTCTTCCCACATCCACTTGGCTAGGGCAGCCTGGACATTCCCTGGGATCTCCCTACTGCACCTCATTGGTTAAAATGACAAGTGTGGCTTTGAAAGGTAAATGAAGCTCAGTTCCAGGAAGAGGGGTGCTTACGGGGCAGAACAAAGAATGGAGGAGCAGTGGCCCAAGTCTAGGGACCCCACTTACCAGTGTGGTCACTACACCTCCTCTCAGGACCTCTGCCTGTCTGGGCTGGGTCCACCAGCAGGAAGGACTTGGCAGGAATCCCAAGACAGAAGGCCTCAACTAAGCATATCTTCTATTCTGAGTAGTTGTCTTGACTGTGCTGACCTAGGAAATGGTGATGATAAATTCCTTAGGAGGGATGTGGGGCCAGCAGCCTGGACTGCTGAGTCAGGAATCTCTGGGATGCTGAGATGGGGACCTGGGAAAAACCTTTATGTGCTCTCACCCATCTGCTAACCCTTAGATAGAGAACTCTTAACTCAAGAAGCTTACTGATTTGAACAAAATGTAATCACTTCCCTGCCACACACTGGACAATTTAAGGACAGTCATATCTATTTTTCTATCACTGAGGTACAGTAACACGCACTGATCTTTAGGGCACCCACCCCCCAAAAAATCCATATTTTTGCAGCTACATGACTAATGTCTGGCTCTAGAAACAGAACACTCTGCAGCCTCCCGGAAGTTCTAGGGTCTTCTAAGGCCAATTCCTTGCAGTGGACTTTGCACATAAATCTCACCCACCAATTCTTGTGATGTGTTGGAAGGACCATGCAGGTTCTATGGATGCTTTTGTGCATTCTGCCTATTATGAGTGTTTGACGTATGACAGAATTCAATCTCAGGCCTGCTTTCAAGTCAGCATTATTACCAGGTTAAGGAGGAAAAAGCTCATAACTCCCCCACTTCCTCAAAATCATGAAGTTTCCACCTCCAAACTGAAAAGTCAGATGCACTCACGCCAACCAAAGATATTCTACGGACCTTTGGAGACAAGTAAGGACTCTCACGATTGTCCTCCTTCTTTGAGAAACCGACGTGTCAGGCTGATGAAAAAACAGTTTTAGCTATAAGTCCAGGGGTTGCAATATATGCAAATGTACATTATCTTGGAGACGCCACCAGGGAAAAGAAAAGATTCCCAACAAAAGATAGGGAAGGACAAATGACAAGCATATTGCCAAGGTGATCTATGATACATTTTTGAAAACTTTACATAGAGAAAAAACAACATTTGGGAAAGATGTGCACGCCACAACACGCCTTGAAGGAGCCAGCCCTGGTTTAAACCGGTGCCCTCCTGCTTCAGACGTCCAGATTGCACCTTGAAAAAGACATTTACTTCTTCGAGTGTTTTTTTCATTGTACAAAATGGGAAGTAATCCACTTCTCAGGGAACAATAAGAATTGAGAAAATGAAGTTAAAGTGTCCATTTTGAACAGAGCAGACACAACAGATGTGCGTTCTTTCCTCCTCGCCTGCATACACAGCACAAGAGACTTCTAACTTTCTTTCTGCCCAAGTTAAATAAGGACTGAATAGAATTTTAAGCATTTGTGTCTTCCAACATATTAACATTTCTCCAAATCCACACCATAAGTGAGAACAGACTATTTTTAAGTCATTAAAGCAGTGTGCTTCCTCTGGAAGAAGACAAATACAGAAGGGTAAAGCCACACAACTGATCATCACTGGCTGTTCCCAAAAAGCAGCTGAAGAGCTGGGAGATGGCTTAGTCCATAGAGTCCAGAATTCAGACCACCAGCACCCCATAAAAGCTGGGCAAGGTGGCCCATGTCTATACTCCCAGCATGGGGGAGGAGGAGACTGGAAGATTCCTAGAGCTTGCTGGCGAGTCAGTTTAGCCAAACTGGCAAGCCATGGGTTCAGTGAGACACCTTGTTTCAAAAAAGAAGGTGGAGAATGATTGAGGCAGGCATCTGCCCTCAGTCTGGCCTCTACATGAATGTACGCACACATACGCACACACACCTGGGCCACCTAGGCGATGGCAGCATTTAACAAAGCTACTTGTCCAGTCACCTTTTCACTATAACTCACATCCAAAAGACCACCACTTTCACCTGCCACCCAGAAAACAGTTACATCTCTTTTGCATCAGTCATCTCTCATGGACCTTGGATCCTCAGCCCTTATGGTCACAGATGCACAACTCTCAGAATCTGCCCTTGTGCTTCCCTACCATAAAGACAAGCTATAGGTACATTCTGGCCAGAACAGAAGGCTACAGTTATCTTCCTTGCCTTGAGCACACTGCAATTGCTACTGTATGTGCCTTTGTTTTTTGTTTTGTTTTGTTTTGTTTTTGCTGTTGTTGATTGTTTTTTGGTTTTGAGATAGGGTCACTCAATGTAGCAGAGGCTGGCCTGGAACTCAGGCTTCTCCTGCCTCTGCCTCCTGAGTGCTGGGATCCCAGGCATGCACCACCAAGCTTGGCAACTGCAGTGCTTAATACTGCTTTGGGCCTTGGCTTTGGGGGTCCTCATAGCTCTTTCTGGCCCCCTACTGTCTTACAGTTCACTAGGACTGCCAGGCCACAGGAAATGCTGTGAAAAGCTGGGCTTTCTTTTTCTGAACAGAACTTCTTTACTTCTTTTAACCGAAATCCTGTGTCATTATGATTGTCATTATTGTTATTAAATTCTATTGTGCTAATGTTGACCCACATCTGGATATTCTGTGAGTAGCTGTCACTGTTTAATATGTTTCCAGAGTGAATTATGTGCACATTAAAGTTTGAGAGATATAGCTAGTAGTTTCAACCCTCCTTCTCTTACCCCAGACCAATACTTGCATTCATGTCTGTGACGTGGCAGATGCTCTTTCATTATGCCAGACATGTGCTTTTCAAAGGGTTTTCCTCAGACAGGCAGCATCAGCCTCACCTGGGAACTTGTTTGAAACACATAGTATCAGACCCCACCACAGACTACAGAATCCCAAAGGCAAATGGATCTCAGCAGCCTGTTATAGCAAGTTTTGCAGGTGATTTTGATGCACAACTCTAAGCACCACTTTCACGAATTAATATTTCATCCACAGCCTAGAATCCTGAGTCTCTGGTATTTATTTCTCAGGGGATTGAGAGAGACCCTGACCTCCTTTCCAAGGAAGATTCTGTCTGTCTGCTTAGCTACGCCTGAGGCAGAAGATGGCAAATGTC